AGAGAACTGTGGAGAATCCTGCCGGGACATCAGAACGATTTTCGAACTCCCCCCAAGCTTTTCTGCACGCGCCAAAGCATCAAAATGTCATTTTCAAGCATCATATCATGCCCAGACACTCCATGTATGCCATATATGTGGTTTTGGGGGAGTATGCCATATATGTGGTTTTGGGGGTCAATGTAAGCATATATGGCATACATGGAGTGTCTGGGATGTACAATCCCCCTATGGTCCGACCCTGATCTCCTTTGGATTCTGCATGCTTGGACTCCTGGGTAGAGGATTCTGCATGTTCGCCCGATGGAGCATGTTCCGTGGGCGATGGACTCAGATGTTGCTGTGCCGTCAAAGCCTTACGGCGCTCTTGAAGCTGAAGGAGCTGGCGGAGAAGCAACTGCCGCTTTGACGCAAGGATTGTCGACCACTCGTGTGGGAGACCGAACATGCAGGGGGCACACCGTTCTGGGTGCAGAAAACCTGGAAGTTCGCGCTTCTGCCAAACCCACCTGTAGGTCACTATGGCTGCTAAGGTTTGGAGAGGTCCCAAAATGTCCCAAAATCACTTTCGGATGTGGAAAACGAGTTGTTTCAACTGTGGGATATGTCAATTAAGTATATATTATATTATGTTAATATTGCAATTTGTTTTGGTGAAGGATCTCTTCCTTTGCACATGTCTAAATGCTTTCGTCTTTTCGTGAAAGGAAGTTAGGCCAAGAAGTACCCAAACGGGACCAGCCACAGATGACCCGTCGGCAAGTCCATGCCCTTAGCTTCTTGTCCCTAGTAGCGATGCCAGGAGCTACTAGTAGCGTCCTTGCTCCTAGTAGCGATGCCAGGAGCCCCAGCTTCTGGTTCACTGTTCTCTTCTTCTACCCTATGAAGAACATATGGCAGTGGCCCTTTGATCCATCTGTTGGATTCCTGGTGGCAAGGCATTTGGTGGACACTCCAGTGCATGGCTCCAGCTCAGGGCGACGCTCCAAGAACTGGTGCCCCTGGCCGTGGAAGTTGGAGAAGAGCCACGTTGTTGGGGTCGGATGTTTTATAGTGATCCCCAAATAGAACGTGATAGACACGGTTTCCAAATGTTTCCAATACATGTCAAGTGGGATCTACTTTTGGGGGTCTATCTACGTGTTTTTGTTGAGATCATTTTTGGCTGTAGAGCCACGTGTCAAAGGGGTTTCAATTGGTGAGCCGGATGAAATTTGGAAAGCACTTCCAAAAATAGACCATCCACAAAGCTGACAGGGTGACAGGGGGCTCCCAGTGGGTTTGGGTCTCCCATCTTTATGACTATATACCATTTCAATATGGCTTGTTAGCGAATCGTTGGGTCTTCCACCTTCTATGTCGACGAATGATGGTGCTTGCGGACGTGGCGTTTGAGCCTCCCAAGTGACCGGACGCGTTCGGCGTCGATGCCTTACGTTTGGACGATGGTGGTGACCGGTGGTTGTCGTGGTCCTGGGCGGTTCGGTCACGTCATAAAACCTCTGAAAGGGGGGCACCAAAGGTGACATGGAAGAAGCTGGATGAAGATGAGGATGATGAGGATGAGGATGAGGATGCTGGTGGTGGTGGTGGTGGTGGTGGTGGTGGCAAGAACTTCCAGGTCTTTCGCCTGGCTCGCTGCTCGGACACGTCAGGTGGAGCCGCCTGAGTGGGCGGTTTACCCGGGAGGATGCCGAGGAGGACTGGAAGATCGACGATTTGAACAGGAGAAAGAGACTGAGAAGATGTGAGAAGTACCATCATGATCACGATAAACATGACTTTCGAAGTGACTGATCCATGCATGACTATACTTCGTATACTTCTTGAAGAAGATGTTTTACGATCATGATGAAACACTACGATCGTACCTTCGTCATGCATCACGATCAATCCAGTCGTACCTTCGTTTCGTTTCGTGATCCGTCGGATGTGGTGGATCCGGGGCACCAGGACCCACTGGCGCCGGAGCTGGCCGAAAAGGCGGCTGAGGCGGCCAGTAGCCTGGGCGCCGAAGCGTGCCGAGCTGAGTTCCACATGGGTGTATCATGGGTGTATTTTAATAGGGAGATCCCCCAACCAATGGGAGTTTGGATGGTTTGGGCTTATGTTCCCTTTTTGCCAGGGGAGTCTTTGGGAGGTCGAGACCTATTCTAATTTACATACGCACCTGGGATGAGTGGATGATTGTGGATGGTGTGAAGTGGGGACTTTGGTTGGACGAAGACAAGAGTGAAGGGAATATGAGTCCCACGAATTTAATTGCATCCATTCGATGGTGTTCCTCAAATATAGATATCATGAGTCAGACAGTCAATCCACTTAAGCATGCCAAGATATGCCTTTTGGCTCACTCAAAAGGTTCGGTTAGGAGCTGCATCGATTGGTAGGTGCCGGAGCCAGATCGGCGATGGATCCAGACATCCTCCATACCGTGTCAATCTTCCAACCAAAATTCTATGCCTTTCCGGCCAAAAGGCATTCATTTTACATAGCTTGAAGATCTAAGTGTACTTTCCACTTTTGAGACCAAATCTTTATCGATCCAAATCCATAGTTTTGACACCTAAAAGTTCGTATGGTCCTCTTTATCGATCCTCAAAACCACCTCCAAGCTCTTCACGGCACCTGAAAACCTCCAAGCTCCACTCGCCCTCGCGAGCTCCACCGACGGCTTCACTGAGGCACAGCATGGATGGGATCTGCTACGATCCGCGCTTGGTGACTTTCGAGTTCGTCAGTCGACTGGTCTTGCGAAAGAAGCAGGCCGTGACCGCGGACCGCGGACCGCGAGCGAGCGATGGCGATGGCTGTGGGGGGGCTTTACTAGGGGCTGCAGTGGAGGGGACCAACCGTGAGAGGGAGGTGTTGGGACCTTGAACTGATCATCATAACTGGAGCAGCATAGCTCAACTCACTGGAGCTGTCAGGTGTCTCTGGTCAAGGCCATGCAAGCCGCTGTCAAGGAGATGGGGTTTCTGCGGGCGTGGGGCGCGCCTCTCAAATCATTTCGATGGTGAATGGTCCACAGGCATTGTATATTATATACTGAAGAAAGTCCCAACTAAGTTGACTGCAGGAATGTTCCCATTTTGCCAAACAAATGCGCGTTGTCCATGTTTTCCCCACCTCGTATTGTCCCCATTCAGTACATCCCACCAGTGCGATGGCACAAGACGTGCGGCGCTTCATCGTGAAAAAGGTAGACTTTGCTGAAGGGGAAGCGTCCGGATTCAGGGTAGAAACGGTGCTGGAATTGAGCCATTGATCAAGCTGCAAATGAAAACTTAAAGCAGCTCAAGCTTCTTCACAGCGACAATAGACTGCAAGACCCCAAAAACGCAATCCTATATATACATATAATTATCCCTTGATTAATCAACCCCCGGCCCCCCCCCCTCAACAACCAGGGCCTCCAATATAATCTACAAGAAAACTAATCAAAGGACAAAAACAATTAGGATCCTTTCAAAATCTTCTTGGCCTTCTCTGGCAATATTAAAAATAAAATGGAATCAATGAAATCTCAAATTGAAGACATCTGGAATGCTAACATAAAAGGAAATCAATAAATTTGAAATTGAATTCTCAATATTTCAATGGAAATCTGAATCCAAAGACCTTCAAAAGCATCCAATACTTTTGAATAAGGGTGTTGTAAAAAAAGTGTGCACTGACTTTTGGAAACTGTTGGAAAGCTTAAAGACTAAAGAGCTTAGGCTTAGGTAAGTAAAGCAAATCAAAAGGAAAAGAAAGGGAATGCGTACAAGTTTACTTAAAGCAACATATTTGTTGAATTCTAGGGGCCCCCGCTAAATAATGTCAGAAAGCTGCTTGCTGGACTACTCCCTTTGCTTGAATGATTTGTTTGTTTTTTTTTCAATACTGTTGAATAAAGGATGTTGTAAAGAAAGTGTGCACTAACTTGTGGGCACTTTTGGACAGCTTAAAGACTAAAGAGCTTAGGTAAATAAAGCCTCCAAAAGCATCAAATCTCAATGGAAATCTTCAAAAATTGAATAGAAATCTCCATCCAAAAGCCTCCAAAAGCATCAAATCTCAATGGA